AATTTAGTTTAACACTCAACAGATGAGACACTGACAAGACAGACAGGCGCCACACAAAAAGAAAAGCTTTGATTCTACTACCCGGAGTCCTCGTCAGGGCCGGGGTCAGGGGAGGTTTCCCGGCTCGTCAGCCACCTCGATCCTGACAAACAAGACAGTTGCAACCGCCAGCACAAAGCTTACCTCTGGAGGCTTTCAAAGGTCTGTGTCTGAGAATCTCCTGCTGGATCCCGCAACAGAGACTCTCGGCCGGATTTACAGTTCCCGCCTGGGTATCTCGCTGGGGCCTCCAATATGTAAGACCTAAAGTCTCACTTCCACTCCACGGAGCGTGAACAGCCGAAAGGCCTCCACGATGCTGGGCCCTAACACCCAGCGAGGCTCCGGGAACACGACAGAGAACCGAGAAACCCAGGAAGGAACACACCAGGCTAGATGGTAAAAGAGACCTTTATTAGTCTGGCCAGACGGCACTCCCGGAGCCAGGTGGCTCAGAGAGGCAACTGCTCAGGGGCTGAGGTACTTTTTATAAGGTTTTTCTAAACAAAGAGTCAGGGAATTCACAGAACAAGACTGCAAACACATTGCTTATCTTATGCAGGAAATGTTCTAGGGTCACCTTTTGTCAAACCATTTGCCCCTGGGCGGGCTGTTAACCAAGGTAGCAATTAGCATATGAAGAAGCACAGTCTGGTCTATTAGCATGGAGTCACTTTAGCCTATTCAAGTCTTACACTATGAAGGTGTATTCATTTGAAACCTAGACTCAAAAGATCTTGAGTACCTTTTTGTAGAGGCACAGCAATGCTCTACTAGGCCACACATGGAGGAGATTTTATTAGGGAAGGTAGGTTAGGGAGAGAGGAGAGAAGGAAGTGCGGGCAGAATAGGGACAGGAGAGAGACCGGAGAGAGAGGAACAAAGAAAGGAAGGTCCTTTTATGGTTTTGGGCTGGGCTATTGCTTATTTATGAAGAGTGAGCTACTTTTAACCCATCACAGGCCAGGTTGCCCTTTATGGGTTTGGTCCTGCAAAAACAGGTTTAACCTCTCCAGACTGCTGTGGCCTTGGCGGGCAGGGAAACTAAAGATAAGAGTGTGAGGTCTTTTTAAGAGCCAAGAAGCACCAGGAAAATGCAGCCTGTGATGGCAGCGTCAGGTTCCTAACACCTTTCCTTTTAGAACTCTGCCACCTCCCTGAAAACAAGCCCTTATTAGCCTCTTGGAGGATGAGATATCACAGGAGGAGAATCAAGTTGCCTTAGCTGACTGCCAGCTCAGTCCCTGAAACTGTCACCAAGTCAACTATAAGCTGACAGTACTGCAGATGGCTAAGTGAGTTAGAAATTATTATAAGACAGTTAGACAAAGCTGGTCCTCAGTATAGAAAAACAATTGAGGCAGATTCACTGGTTAGCATTATAAAAAGGAAAGAGGTACTACTTCTCCTAGAGATGAATAGCAGTGATTGATATTCTAAATGGACATCAATCTCCCTAGCCCATTTCCTTCCTGGAAATTCCTTGTATGTGATTTGTTTTCCCACTTGACTTCCATTTAACCAATATTACCTGGGTGACTGTACTTGTAATCCTATTAGTTGGTCATGATTTTGTCCCACCTCATGCCCAGCTTGTAATTTTCCATTAGGTCTTATAGTTTTGCCCTACCTTGAACCTGCCTCATCTCTTATCTCTGCTCAATAAATTGCCTTTGAAAAGCAGGGTGGGTGGGCAACCCAGGTGGGTGGGCAACCCATTTTCCAGCCCCCCTTCTATCTCTCTTAGACAGAAGCTATCTTTCAATAAAAATTTCTTACTCCTAACCTCTGTTGATCCTAGAACTCATTCTTTGATTTTGGAGAACACAAACTTGAGTTTTGTTTTGTTTTTTGGTACAGGGATTGAACATTTACAAGGCAGGCAGCAGAACCACCCCAGCTCCCCAAACTCAAGTTTTGGCTATCTAGCAGGTTTGAGAGTTGCATCTGTTCCTCCTATATCAATAGCACAGCAGAAGGAGACCAGATGAGCGTGGCCTAATTTGCTAATCAGCCTAGTCATAAGCTAGATGCTTTTCAGGTGGCTTGCTCTCCAGTGGGATGCCAGGGTCCAGTGACACGTTGACTGCAAATCACCTAGCAAACAATAGATGTCCTAAAGGCACTGCTTCCATTGCCTATGATTTAAAGTCAGATGTTTTGCTAGATAGTGTAGAGCTACAGAGAAGTGCATGTAGACATAAATACAAATATAATTGGTGCTTTAATTCACAATCATCCCACATGCATCACAGTGGAAACAGACATCCACAGCCTGACCATTAGGTCCAAGGCCAAACCGCAAAATAGGAAGTTTGCCTTTTGTCTATTTAAACATTAGAGGTCAGGGACGGGGATGGATTTGAAGGCTTGGGGTTCCCTCCACCTAGGGCCCCATCTTCCGTTGTTTGTTGTTCCATCTGTGGAAGGGGATAGGCCTGAGCCCACCTCCAGGTGGCAGGAAGTCATGCTCCCTGATCTTTTGCGGGCACTTCCTCTCCTCTTTCTTGGGCTTGAGGATGAGTATCAGTAGAAAATCATGTGTCCTCACTTCTAAGATAAAAAGGAGTGGCGCATCTCCCAAGGGTCTGGAAAGTCATACCATGGGATGGGGTCTGAGGAGGTCCCTCAGAGGTGATGCAGACCTTAACTCACTGCACCAATGGAGTAGCTTGTGGGTTCACCAACTTATATCAAAGCAAAGCATTTCAGGATGTATGATTGAGAAGCATAGACAAGTTTATTAAGCAGCACTACCACTGAGAAAGGGGTGCTGCCTCTTGAGGGATGAGGTGACCTGTGGTCTGTGGCTGAGTATATTTATGTATTTTTCAAGGTAGAAATCTGTGGAATTTATCAATCTGTAATAAAGGGAGAAAGCAGGCACTCAATTTACAGATGAAAGGCAAGAACTCATATATAGGTGAAAGGCCCACTTTACAGGAGAAAGGCACAGGTTCAGTCTAATGGATTCACTACGACATAGGAATTTAGGAGTGAGTAGCCTGGAAAGAGGAAAAATGTAACCCTTGGCAATGTAGAGGATTCTGAAGCTGCAGTACTTTTTTAAAAGTACATTTAAAATGGATGATTTTTCTTGTCTCCTTTCTACCTGTATTTATTTCTTTTATCCTACTTCAGTCATAGCTCTCAAAGGCAGAATGGGGCTGCTTTCAAGTGAGATGTACTGGAGGCTTAAAGTGAGTTTTGAAGATTCAGTACCAAAAATATACATACTTCATTAATCATTTTATGTTGTTCACATGATAATATTTTGGATACATTGAACTAAATTATTGATCCTGTACATGGGGCTCTTAGGCCCTGCGATAAAAGAAATGCAAAGCCTGGCCAAGTAGTATGAGGACACAAGCAAAGCTCTCAAGTGAGAAGGACAAGGAACCCAGGACTTCAGCTGGAGGAAAAGAGCTAGTGGGTATGGTACTGAGTGAAATCAGGCTGGCCTCTTAAAGGAAAGGGACAGGCTTTATGGGGTTCCTGGACCCAGTAGGGCTTGGTAACTTTTCTGACAGGTGATAGGTATGGGATTTTAAAGAAATATCTTCCTCATATTTTAAGGGTTTTTTTTCTTTTTGTAAGAAACAGGTGAGGGGCAGTTCTCCTCGGAGACATCAGGGTATCATCCTGGCAGCTGCAGAACACCTGGCCCTCTAAGTGACACTGAGGAGTTAAAGAAGTGCATACTGCAAACTTTATTGGCAAAGGAGGATAGGGAAAAATCCTGTCTTCACTACTTCTGGGAAATGGGTCACAGGACTTCTCCTGTGGCCAAAAAAAAAATCCCTGCTCTACCTCATTATCACTTATTTCCTTTAATGTTTAAAGTGAATACTAGAAAATTAAAAGTCACACTCAAGTCCCACATTTTATATGTATTAGACATTGCTGCCTTAGAGAATTGCTTCCCATTTCAAAGCTCAAGAAAAATCCAGTAAAATTTAAAAGCAGCTGTTATATGTTTCCATTTGTGAATAATGCATACACATATAAATAGCATATGACTTTATAAATAAGAATAAATATAAGGTCCCCATGGAGGGCTACTAATCTAGGGAAAAATGTAATTCCCAACCTGCTAGATTTCAGATATACTGAGTTTGTGTACCCTGAAACTGAAGAATGAATTAGGACAAAGGAGGTGAAGGGTAGGAAAGGATTACTGGGGGTTAGGAATAGCTCCTAAGAGGGAGCAGATGACCCCAAAGTGGGTTGCCACCGAGGCCCTTTGTTTGGGGTAATTTATACAGCAAAGTCACCATGTGGGTACAACGTGGGTCAAACTACAAGCAACCTATAGGAGTATAAGTAGCTGCTTAGCTAATATTGGTCCAATAGGGAAGCAGGTCATGTGCGAAGAACAAAGGTATTTTGGACAAGGGATGGGTCCAGATCCTCTGGTCACCCACCTGAGTAACTGACGTCTATTTGGACTGTACTGGACCAAGTGATTCCAGTTATAGTATAATTCCAAATTATTGCTTTTCCCTTAGGGAGGCACCTGAGCCTTTTTTTTTTTTTTTTTTTTTTTTTTGCATGTTTATCTTGAGGCTTGGCCTTTTTCAGTTGCACTTCCACCAACGATTTCGATGTTTTTATTTTTCTCTGCTGACTTCTTTGACAGCCCAGTTCTCTCTGACTGCACATTAATTTGTATCTAATTTAGCTGCCTGTAATACTACCTCACTCCACATGGAGAACGTTTTGCCTTAGATTAGCGTCAGCCAGACATCCGCCTTCAATCTTAGATATCAGAGAACCGTAAAAAAGCTGCAAACAAAAACCTGTCATTTTTTTTCTTCAGCCATGGGTTGGTAGCATCTACTGTCATTCAAGGATTGAGAGGGCGGAGCCGACAGAGCTACCCAATCAGAAGCAGGGTTATGAGACCTGTCCACTCAGGCACACAGCCAGAAAGGCGGGACTTCCACAATTGGGCGGTCCTTTCGGGTTGAAGCCCGCCGTCCAGGGGCCTGGTGCTGTCCGGCCGAGAGGTCCAGATTGCTCCTTCTCCTCCGGTGTCTCCCGGTGACCTGCAGGGGTGGAAGATCGCTGGGAGGGTGCAGAAACGCCGGAAACTGGAAATGGTGAGTGCGCGGCTCGGCGTCCTGAGACCAGGAAGGGAGGCGCCTTGGAACCCGCGGAAACCGGCTGTGGAGGGCCTGGGTCTCCCGGGTCGGCTCTGGAATCCGCAGGCCGCCGTGTTCCTCCTCTTCCTCTGCACACCTAGGTCCCCCGAGGCCCCGGACAGCTGGGCCCCACCTCCCCTCCGGTGGTGACAGCTGTGTCTTGCGGACTCCAGGCTCTTGGTCCCCTCGGATGCGGGCGCCGGGGCGGGGCTGGCTCTGCAGTCCGGACCCTGACGCCCTTCCCCTGCCAGTCGTGTGGTCCAGGCCCCTTGGGAGGTGTTAAAGCCGGGACACCTAGTGCACGGACAGACTCCTTCGGGGGAATTGGTCACTCTGGAGCTATCGCTGGGGTGCGCTGGAGCCTGATGCGAAGGGGTAGTGTTTTTTTCCGGTGAACTCCCTAATTGCAGGCTGGATGATAGAAGGCAGCTGTGGGCAGCAGCCCCTGGCACAGTGTGCTCCCTTCCAGGGAGACAGTGGAACCTTTGAGTTTTAATCCCTTTTCTTCCCTGGTCCCAGGGTATGAAGTCTGAGACTACTTGCATGAAGCCACCATTTTGTTTTGTGGTCTTGAGACTTGTGACTGCCTTGTCCTTTCCTAGGAATAGTTAAGATCCAAGCCCCGGGGAACCTTAGACTTAGTGTGCTGTATGTATGATCTCAATCTTCCCCTCAATGTGTTGCTAGGTGTTGGGTGATCTTTAGCAGTTAGCAGTATCTAGAAATTTCTCAACTCATTAATGATGAAACATGAGTAGGTGATTATTCAGTGTGTCAGTATATGGAGGGAAAGCCAGGAACCTCCTGTTCTGCCAGGTTTCTAATATTATCCAACAGTAGCATCCTTAACATCTGCTTTTATTTTTCAGTGCCGGGGACTGAATCCATGGCCTGACGTGTTCTTGAGGGCTCTGTCTCTGAGATTTACCACCACATCTAACATTGGCCTTTTGATTAGGTTGTTTGATCGATTCACATTTAATGTTACTCCTGAGATATTTGTAATTATTTGCCCTTTTTTTGCTCTTAACAAAGCAACCATTTCTTATATATCCATGTAGATTAATATGTTGATGTAATTCCTGTTATGATTTTTTGGGTCATTATTGCCATGTTATATTTCATGATGTATTTTAGTGTCAGGTAGTGGTAGCTACTGCTGTTGCTCTTATAATTTAGAAGTTTTTTGGCTAATTTCATATATATTTATATTTAATTTTGCAGGTGAATTTTAAAAGTTTTTGTTTTGGTCTCTTCCATTAAACATTATTGAAATTTTGAAGGGGCAGTATTACATATTAATTTGAGGAAAAGTGGTCTCTGTAGTGACTTTTACAATCTACCTACATGATGTGTATAATTGAGAAACTAATGCCTCATATATGACGAAACCCTTTCAATAAGGACAGAAACCCGAGTTTTGAAATAACTCTTTTTTTTGCCACAGATACCCCACTTTCCCCACAGCTTCTATTGGAAAGGGCATCTTTTTCTATTTTTGTGCAGTAGGATCTCTGTCATTTAAGTATGTCTGATAATTCTGTCTGTAATTTCACAGGTTTAATTATTCATCTCTTTGCCAGGTCTACACTGATTGTTGTAGCTTTATAACTTAGTCATTCTCTGCAGAGTGAGATTTTGGCCATTTATGGACTTTAGATTGCAGAGAGAGCCATAGCATATAGCCCAGGTCTATGGAAGCTTTTATGTTCAGATTTGTGTAAGTACCATAGTGGGGGCATTATCTGAAGATTAATTTCCCGGAATGTATCCTCATGAAGAGGTGTGACTGTGTATATACATGTGATAATTAATGTATACCTTACATATTTACCAGCGCACTTTCAATTTCATTAATCTTTTGCTTGTTTTTTTGAGACAGAGTCTCTCTATGTAGTTGAGACTGACCTGGAAATTACTGTGTAGCCCAGGCTGGTCTCGAACTCACAGCAGTCCTCCTGCCTCAGCCTCTTGAGTGCTGGGATTACAGGCGTGCACCACCACTCCCGGCTCAATTTTATTAATCTTTTAAAAGAACCAACATTTGGCATTGTTGATATTCTGTGGTATGTTCATTTTCAATATCTTTAAATTTTGCTTTTATTCTTTTAGAAAATTTGCCTTTTCTGAACTATTGAGACAGATAATTAGCTAGTGAATTCTAACTCTGTTTTGTTTTACCAATTTAAAAGTGTTGTTCCTTTTAACTTCATCTTTTGAATCCTACCTTTTTCTTTCATACATCTTCATTGAGGACTAATGACAATCTGTATATATTTAAGGGATATCTTTTTATCTATTGTGTACATTCATGAAATCAGTACATAATTTGCATATTCAATACACAAAGTTTTTACTGGGACCCTTTTACAGTCTCCCCTGCTTTTCCCCACCAGTGTTTATTTAAAAATTTCTATTTCATTGAGTAAAACAAAAACAGGGCAAACATGAAAATTGTAAAGGTCAATAATTATAAAGGGAATATATCATGAAGCTACTACCTATATCAAGAAATAGAACATTAGCAGTGCCCAGCAAACCCTTTCATTCCCTATTTGTTATACTGTCCATTCTCCCTAGTGGTAACTATTTCTCTGTTCTAGCTTGCAGTCAGTCAGAGCATTCTTTTAGGGTTTTTGGTGAAATTTGTGTCCTGGTTAGGTATAGAATTGCTGGTTCTTGTAGAATGCCTGAGAAGTTAGGATCAAACTATTTTCCAAAGTATCTCTGTCAGCTTACACTGCTATCAGTAGTGTTTGACAGTTCCAGTCAGCACACTTATGATTATTAGTCTGTTTATTTTGTTGTCATTGTCATCATCTTTCTGATGCAGTATCTGCAGTTTTTAATTGTAACTCCTCTAGTTGGTACTGATTTGTACACACATTCAGATGTTTATTTGGCTTTGTTTTTGTGCCTCTGGGGATCCAATGCAGGGATTTGTGCATGCTAGGCAATTACACCACTGCTAAGGTGTACCCTCAGCCCTGTTTAAATCTTTGTCATTTGAATGCCTCCTGTGAAATCTCTGAGCAGTTCTCTTATCTGTTGGGATGTCTGGTTTTTCCTTAGAAATATGTAGTGCTCCATCTATTAAGTACTACAAGCCCTTCACTAGAAATGTGCACTGCCATTATGTTTTCCCTAATATTTCATGAACAGAAATTCTCTTTCTTTCTTTCTTTCTTTCTTTCTTTCTTTCTCTTTTTTTGTTTGATGCTACTGGGGAAATGTGTAATCTGGGCAAGCATTCTACCACTGAGGTATACCTGGAGCCCCTAGTTCTAATGAAGTTTTATTACTCTTCTCTTTAGAATTAATGTAAGAACACTATCTTAATAAAATCGTGAAGCTTTCTTTGAAAATTAGTTTTTGCTTTTAAATCTGTGAATGTTTTTCTGTAGTATGATATAGGGACTAAATGTTATTACTTAAAAAAAAAAAAAAATCCGGGGCTGAGAATTTAGCTCAGTGGTGCTGCTGCCTGCCTCGCAAGTGCAAGGTCCCAGGTTCAGTCCCTGGACCAGAAGAATATATACCCATTTAACCCAGCAACATTGGTTGAAAAATTGATAATGATGTAAGAAACTAAAAAAAAAAAAAAAAAAAAAAAATCTAACAGTATATTCTTGTGATACCTACCATGTCAGATAATGTGATTAAAAAAATAACAGTGAATTCTGCTGCAGCATGCCATCGAACAGGCAGGGATCTTTAAGATTAGAAGTGTGGTGCCGCACCTGCCTCACAAGTGCAAAGTCCTGAGTTTAATCCTTGGTACTGGGGATGGGGTGGTGAAGAAGTGTGGTGCAGAAACTTAGTGTGTGACTGACAAGTTTCATTGAGTTTTATGCAAGCAGTCAGTTGCAAGCTATGGTTGAATGAGGTGTGTTTTAAAGTGCTACAAATCATGGATCACAAATAATGCATTACCATTAAATTAGCATTAAATGAAAAAGAAACACATGAAATATTAAAATTAGTTTATGATAATGTTGTCATGTCCATGAAGATGGTTTGAGTGATTTCATAATGGTTAGAAATCAGCTGAAGGTGAGTGATTAGAATGTTCTTCATCATCAAGACCCCAAGAGAATGTCCAAAGGGTAAGCAAAATGATTAGATAAAACTGACAGTTGGTTATTGGGGAAGTTTCTTAGGATCTGAATATCTCATAGTTCCCTTCAGAGCATTTGTACATGAAGCAAGTGGGTGTGAAATTTATCCCATAAGTTTTAATTGTTGGCTGGGATTTAGCTTAGTGGTTCCACTGCCTGCCTTACAAGTGCAAGGACCCGAGTTTGATCCCTGGTCCAAAAAAAAAAAAAAAAAAAAAAATCTAAGTTTTGATTGTCAAAAGCAACAGTGCTTATCAATCTAATTGGAGTTGTGCAGTTGTGCTGCCTCATATTCCAGCTTTATAAGAAATGTCATTGTGGGAGATAAAACTTAGTTATGATCCTGAGACCAAGGTTCATAGTTCTCAGTGGAAATCACCCCCTTTTCATGTGAAAAGAGCATGTCAATCAAGATCCAAAATGAGGTGATGTTGATTATGCTTTTTGACCTTGGAGGAATTATGCAAGCTGAGTTTGTCCTCAGGAACATTGCATTGAACTTTTAATATTATAAGGGCTTTTTAGGGTGTTTGAGAAATTATGTGCATAGAAAATGGCCTAGGAATTGGGCAGTTTCATCTCCCATCATGGCAACATTCTGTGTCACACATCCTTCTGGCATGGCAGTTTATCTTAAAAATGTTTTTTTCTCATTTACCTTATGCACTGTATTCAGCATCTTATGACTTCTGACTCTTTCCCAAAGAATACCATGAAAGGTACTGTAATTTATATTGGAAGGGCTTTGAAGGGTGATTGAATCATGGGAGTAGTATAGCTAAATGTGATGTTAGGAGGTGGAGCCTGGTGGTAAGAAGTGGGTCACTGGAGGTGGCCTCC